CCCCTGCAGATCCCCCACCACTGCGCATGACCGAGACAAGGGAAACCCCAGACCAGCATTGTTTCGCGTTTAACTTAGCTTAAATTACATTTAACCACATTAATAATTTGGTGTCTGTATTAAGAGGGGGGTGGGAAAGTTAAGTTCAACTGCATAGCCTGATTGTCTTGTTACAGAAAGGGATCCAGGGGGCAAGTCCCGCCTATTAGACCAGGACAAGTAGATTTTCTTCCTAGGCAAGTAACTTTTAAGGCTTACTTGTCCAATGGGAAAGGGTCCAGGCAGGTCAACTGCCAACACAATCATTGACAAAGTGGTCCTGGGCAGGCATAATAACAGAGCTTCTTGCCCAAAGGACACCTGGAATTCAAGCCTTTTTTTGAGCCCTAGGTTAGCTTTGAAAGAAACTGCAATGCTGATAGGCAAAAAAGAACAAAAGAATTCCCCATGACAGTTCCCGAGGTAAGTTCTATGCCTCAATAAGAACCCAAACTGGTTCAACTAATCACAACCAAGTCAATTGTATCAAATACTACACACATGTAGAAGTCAGATGTTGTTAAAATGCTGTTTTAACTTTGGTGCCGCATCATACATGCAACTCAGTGGACTTTAAGTTTGACAACACGAAAGGATTACTAGCACTGCTGTAAAATTCAGCAGCACCTTGATGATGCTCAGAAGTTTTACTTCTATCTATCAGTGGTCAAGATTTCTTTACTTAACAATTCATTATACCAGTAACCTATTTTGTGAAAACATAACTTGACTGAAAAGTGACGATTTCTGAATAAATGAACAAACAAACCTGGAAGCACTGGATATAATAATGCAAAACAAAGTCAATGTCTTCATTGTTGTCTCAAAATTATGTGCTGAATACATGGCAAGAGGCGAGATGAGAGGCAGTTGTAGTCCCAGGCAATCTAGTGCTTTGCACTGTCATGTTAAATCACACCTTTTATCTCTGTTTCAAGATCTCATGTACAGTGTTCTCAACCTATCTCACTATCTGTAGTTCAAAGCCCTAGCATACTCCAATGTCCTATTATGGTATAGTTCTTTCCACAATTTTTTCACCTTTTTATCGCAACTAGTTTGCAAAAATCTGTCAATACTGCTAGACAGAACGCCTTAAAATCAGCAAAGTTGCCAAGTTTGACAGTGATTTATTGAAAAAGAACGAAGATATAACTCTGCAAAGTCACACAATTTTACAGACAATTGTATGGAGGGGAGCAAGTTTGTTCCTCTCACCACACAAATGTCTGTAAACTTCGTGACTTTGCACATCAATATCTTTGGTCTCTTTGAATGTATCACCTTTAAACTTAGTAAGTTACCTAAGGTCCGCTTTCCAGCACTGATGATTGATATTTGCTTACTGGTCTCATCAAAAGTTTTAAAAAAACCCTGGAAGGGTCTATTCCTACACAGAGATCACGGATCAATTTATGTTTGTGGGAAACTGCCCACCTACCCCTCCCCTAAGCCAACATTAACACTTACTTTTCACTCAGGGCAAAATGTTGACTTAGGGGAGGGGTAGGCGGGCAGTTTCCGAGAAACGTGTACTGATCTGAGATCATACATGGCACTAACCGTTCATGAAGGGCAGCATTCTCCTTGTAAGCCTCATCAAGCTTCCTCTTTAGCTGTTCTACCTCTTCAGCCAGACAATCTCTCTCACTTTTAACCTAGAAAATTAACAACGAATTAGTTTCCTTACAATCGTTGTTGATTTCTCAGTAACAGGCCAAATTGAACTTAGTTTGATGGTAACATCATTTTTTCTTATCAAAAATCTATTAAACATGCTTGTTACTTGGAACGCAAGCATGAGGCACAAGGGATAACCCAAAAGTTTCATTTCCAGTGAAATGAATATTGCACAAGCTCAATCTCATGCACAAAAAGAGGAAAAATTTGTCCCTTGTGCTCATGCCTACGTTTACTTTTTCAGGGTTGCCACTTTCCTGACCTTCTATTAATGAGAAACAATCCATGTTTACATTCTCCTTAGCTTTTTTTGCAGGCCATTGACAGTTTTCTCTTCATTTTCAACCTCTTTCCGCTTTTCGGGGGAAAGAGGAACAAGGAATTTGGAAGAAAGCATTCACAATGAAAACCACTGACCACAACTAATACATGTGTCAGACGTAGAGTGTTAAATTGATTGCTTTGCTTGCTTTGCAGCATACTTTTCATTTTTTCCAAAAGAAAATGCATTTCAAAATCTTGAAGAAAACTTATGAACTATAAACTGAAAAACAGAATTCCCTGAATTTTCACTGACTTTGACAATATCAAAGATTTTCCCTGACTTTTTAAAAAATTCCCTGACTTTTCCCTGACCTTGAAAAATTTTCAGTTTTCCCTGACTTTTCCCTGACTGTGGCAACCCTGTTTTTGGGATGCTTTCAAGGTAAATTAAGGACTCTTCAATGCTTGCTCTTGCATGCAAAATCAAGCTAACCAATAGCCTGAAACAAGAGTATGCACTTTACTTCACTGTGAGAATACATTCCTGACCTCTCTCCTGAAGAAGAACCCATCTCATCAGTAAAATTTGGAGAGGACACCATTTTCCCGCAAAGGCTGTACACAGGCTAGACAAGGGCGAACAGGTCTAGACAACTTATTTTTTAATTTAATGACTCAGACATCTTAGCTCCAGATACTAATCAGCATGGAATGGGGAGTGTTACATGACCGGAAATTAGAATAAACACCCAGTCCTATCCCATTTGCCCTGAGTAACATAAATTTCACACTTTAAAGTTTTAATTTTTTAATTAATTCTGTTAATAAAATCAATATTGAAGAAAAAATATTAACATCGACAAAAACCGGCATCATAAGTTCAATCTTCTCACACATCTATTATTTATGACCTACAGTTTCTTGTTAACTTTTCCGGCTTATGAAATCGGCAAAAAACATTTTCTGCATAGAAAAAAAAGGAAGTCGAAAATACTTTCTTAACTTATATCATATGGAGTTAATTAAGATGATCCCCGTTAATAAAATCTTTTTCGACACGGACAGGTAGAAATAATATATAGCTAAATATAATGACGTAAAGTGTTTGAGTTATGTTTATGTTTTCAAACGGTTTCACAATGAGAAGAAGAGAATGAATATATAAACTATTTAAGTTGTTCCAGAACGCGGTGGGCTTATATAATTACTTGATCATCAGGTATCGAGAAGACCATTTCAAATATATCATTAATTTTGCTATTCTGTTGCTTTTCTTGGAGGCAAAGGTAGTATTGTAAAAGGAATGCAATTGGCACGGAAGATGATATCTTACAAAGTCGAAACTAAAGTTAAGCTTACCTTGAAAAAGTCGTCGTGGCTATCCTCACTTGTAGAAACCAAGCAATCCTCTGATTTCGCCGCTGACAGTCTTCCATTTTGTTTTGTTGTACTATCCATCTCGATCACGTAGTCAACAGGTACGATTCCCCGCTCAGTCGTAGGGTAATCTTTAGTCTTTAATAAAGGATTGTTCTTCCAAACCGTCCTCTCGACATTCACCCAATAGTTGTCCCTGCGGCTGAGAAATGTAAAAATCTCACCTATGTGAAACGAAAGAGGATTTGCTCCATCAGAAAAGCAAGCATCTGCTGCTGTAAAATCCCTCAAAGCCTGCAGATATCGAGGTCTCCGTTTACTTTTTTTACGAGAAGCAATCTTTGAGCTCATTTTGTCAAAGCGATTCTGTAGTAAAAATGCCTCTTGTGAAACTCCCGCCGGCAAAGACAGGGTGGCATTTTCGACCGAAAAACACCGTCGTATTATAACATTCCTTTGAAATATGGAACGCCAGTGTAGCCGAAAAGTTTGAATAAACCACAAGGTCCCATATATTGAAGCTCTCAACGATACTGGCTAAAGTTGTAAACAGAAAAGCCAGGGATTAATAATACTCACCTACCAGACACTCATCTTCCATCGGTCCCAAGAGGAAACTACCCAGAATGCCATATTAGAACGGAAATGCCTTTGCACCCAAACCGGAAGTTGTCTCTGTTCAAGATGTGGTTTACCCAAACAAACTCTGAGATTCACTATCAAAACCCCAGAGTTAAAACCGGGATCCGATCGGCTCCTGTTAAAATCCGTAGGGAGGGAAAACACAGACTTAGTTTCGTTAGCGCCCTGATTTTTTAAAATCTTCAAAAGTAAGCACCGGTATCTGGAAGACTGGCAACGGGTAATTTCTTGTTGTAAGTATTAAAATTGGCTGACTTGAACTTTATAATTAAGCTCTCTAAGCCCTAATAATGATCAGCATAAAAGCAGAGTTATCATGAGAATTGAAAAAATGATCACAAAAGATGAATTAAACTTATACTTTAACAACTTCTTCCCACTGCCACAAGAGGAAATGCCTAGGGGCCCGCAACAAATAAGAATTTTAATTTTGATATTAGGATCTAATAGGGGTTAAACTTCATTTGTCAACTGAGTTAATAAGGTAAATTAGCTGTTACAAATCAATTTACTTTTGGACTCATGGCGTTTACAGAGGGGCTGTGCTAAAGACGAGGCAACGTAATAGAATTTTGGTCTCAAATAGGACATCATTTATAGGATCATTCGTCAGGATTTCACAAAAGAAGTGCACAAGTATAGAAAAAACTTTAAAAGCAGTACTTCATTTAGTTTTGGTGGAAAGGTCGGTGGAAAGTGGACCTGCGACTACAGTGGTAGTCTTGTATGGGTGGGATCAGGGTGGGTGGCATGATCAACAACAAGTAATCGGCTCCTGTCAACAAATATCTTGTATGGAAGGTCCAAACCTTTTGCTACCCTTTTTCGGACAAGATTCCTTTTTTAATGTCCTTGATTCGTTTCATTTCACTATACAGAACTATGTGGTTTCGAATTGTTTTTGGAAACAATGGAGCGAAAGAGAGGCTCCCTCAGGCCTCTGCTTTGAAGACGTTAGCATTAGGCGCTAGTCCTGGGTCGAGTGAAGAAGAAGAAGAATGTTTACCATTACGTCAATTTATTTATTCTGGTGTAACAACATGGCGTCCGACTTATCTTTAAGAGATTCCGTTCCAGAATCAGTGGAACCTGGATGTTCTGACGATCAGAAATACATTGACCGAGTGAAAAAACTTCTAAAGCCCCTCGAGAATCGATGGGACTATGTTCAAAGCGTTCTTCTGTGGGAAAAACCCATTCATTCCTTGTGTTATTTCATCGTGATGACAGCTCTCTTTGGGTGAGTTGAAGTGCGGGGTTAAAATGCTAGAGAGAGAGAATTCATTATGTAATGCGCTGATGTGATGTCATCTTGACCACAGTTCAGTGGCAAGTGGACGTTTCCGTGTTGTTCTGCTGCTGGTTGTGATAATAGCGTCATCATTGCTCATAGATGATGTGAGATCCAAGGTGCGGTTGTTGCTACTTGCAGGTACGTCATAAACGAACGAATCCACTTGTTCATCGACTTGAGAATGTATTTCCGACGGATCGGATGTGTTTAATTATAAATGACTCTTTTATAAACTTTATTAACATACTTATTTCCTAAATGCGATCAGGTGGATTTGGTGAAGTCAGCGATGAAGACAGGTAAGCAGATTTTGCGACTATTCATAATATTTTATTGCGCCGCCGTTTTTAATCAACCGAAGCTTATATCTTTGCGGTTTCACTGACAGCAAAAAATATTTTGAACACAACCACGACATAAGCTACATTATAATCATCGTCATTTAAAATAAGTGTTTTGTTTTTGTTTTTCTGATTGCTGACACAAATTCTTGTGTTGCCATAAAAAACGTTTGTTACCGAAACGAGCGAATGTTAAAAGAATTTACATGTACAGTACATTGTGAACCCCATTAATTGAATATTTAATATGGTTAATATTTTATCGCATAGATTCCACAGAAAAATAAGCTATAAATCTGGTTTTCTAAATTTGTTATTTATTACAGTCGAGATACAACACTCTCTTATTCACGACTGTGTGAAAGATTGGCAGTAATATGGAGTTTCTTCATGACTTGGTTTGAAAGAGTAAATAGAATGAAAAGTGAGAACGTATACAAGGTATGCAAATATTTTTACCAAAATTATGATTATTTTTAAGTACTTGAGTATTCTGATACCGGTAGCTGGTATCCTTTTAGTTTAGGCAGCAATGTTGAATTACAGTACATATGTGTTTTGCTCTGTCCCGCAGAGGGCAGTGGCAGATCTAGACCTTCAGATGAGGGAGGGGGGTGGTCATCCAGACCCTAAGGGAGGGAGACCGGTCTCAAAAAATTTTTTTTCAACCTTTTGGGCCTCAGTTTGGTCTAAATATAAGGGGAGGCCCTGGGTCCCTTCCCTGGATCCACCACTGAAGAGAGAGGGTGGAGCATAGGAGGGGCAGGGGGATCCCTTTTAAAGTGTTGTACTGGTCCTTTGCGAGGGTACTTAAAAAAACAGGGTGTAAAGGTAATACAATGTAATCAGGTTTACTTTGTATGTCTCTGAAGAGGAAAGCAAATGATATTAAAACAGCCTGTTCACACAATTCTGCGTTGTATTTCATGATGGTATGTATTTTTTGTGGTTGTTTTGGGGTCTTATAATTGATGACAATTTTCATTTTTCTCCCTCCAAGCTTTTTCCTTTAGGGGATGAGGGTATCCTTCCATATTTAAGTTTTTTTTAAGGTATGTGCTACAGCAGACTTGCCAAACCCCAAAAGCCAGAGATTCTGAAACCAGAGCTGGGAAAAGTAGTGAAAAGTGGGTAAAAAGATAGCAGTAAACATCACGATTTTTCAAGTTAGATTTTTGTAATTTCTATGTTCTGTCGGTAGCCATTTTGAAACAAGAAGAACAGTAAGTCTGCACATTTGGTGGTAGCAGCAAGTCTCGATAGGCTAAAGAATGTAGTCAAATGTGACCACTAAGCATTTTCTTTGGATTGAGCTGGCTATCTATTCATATCTAACTTTCAGCTCCAAAATTTTTTTGGAGTTTGACTTTTTGAGAAAGCATGAGAAATCAGTTGCCAGCTGGTGAGAGTGTGAGATAGGTCAGGAAATCTATGAGACTATGAGACTTGGCAAGTCTGCTACAGAATAGGAGCGTCATAGGATAAGCTTAAGGTCTCTGTGACGCAAAGCAACATGCACTCTTTTACCAAGTTCCAAAAATTTTGGTAAACCTTTTCTTTGCATGTCTTTCATTTGGAAAGTCAGACAGTGGCAAGGGTTGTATCCTCTTTCATCCGGGGCTATCGATAAAATTTCAAGTTGCTGAGTATATGCAATAAGTATGCAGGTAATTGAACACTGCTGGGAAGTCCTTGTGGTTTTACTTCACACTTAGTGACATCGCTGTTCATCTCTGAGATTCTTGATTTGATTCATTTGAATGGTTTTGATTTATATTTTGTTGGCATGGCAGTGATATCACAGTAGGGTGAGGCCTTGTTATTGTTTGAGATTCGAATTTTTTCTTGAGTACTAAAACTGTGTTCAAAATTTATAAGTTTTCATTGTAGGTGATCGTGATAATTTTCTACTGTCATTTTTGCAGTACTATGGAGTATTATTTGGACTGTTACTTGTGGTGGTGTTTGCCTACCAGTATTTACCTTTGATGAAGATTTTTTACCTTTGTGGTATGTTCTATCAATAGATAGATAGAAACGTAGATAGAAACTTTATTCAGGGCCGTCATTAAGTTTTGAAGCAGCTGTAGGAATTGAAGATTCACCCGTGTATAACATATCTCACAAAAATCTACAGTGCAATCTTTAGCTTTACACTTTGGTCACTTTGGTAACATCAAAATTTAATGAGCTCAGCTGTAACCTGTGTTACAGGTTATAGGCCTTAATGACAGTGCTACTGTTTTTAATGTGTCAGAGCTATATAGCTTGGGATACTAATGCAGAGACTCAATCAAAATAAAATATATTTAGTTTAAAAGAAATGATATTTTTGTGATTTTTACAAGTTACAATTATCCTAGTACATAATTGTACATGCAAATTTTGAAGCATCACCAAGGGCTTTGTAAATACCTTACATTTATCTCAAATTTCCATCCCCCTCCTGTAAGGAACCTTTTCAGTTCAAGTACCTCTTCCTTTACATAATTTAAAAACTGATGTATGCTTGCAGTGATTCTCTTTCCATCTCTCTTGGAATGAAACTGTTTTGTTTGTTGTAGCTTGTGCCCTGTACTTCTGGCCTGTAATAAAACACCATGGTATACACAAAAGAGTAAAAAAGACCCTGGATCCATTTTATATGCCCTTTGTTGTTCAGTGGCAACATACTCGAACAAAGCGTCAGAGGGATGTCAGTGCAAAAGGTATTTAATTCTTGTTGTCCACTGGTGGTCAGTTAGTCAAGGTACAGCGTATGAGAACTTAAAGACATGATTGCCCATGATCAACACCCACAGAGGGGTGCAAGGTTATTTTCATGACGCTGTGATGGACCATTTTTGGTGTCCCTGAATCGTGATGGCGACATCCCCCCCCCCCTCAAGCAGTCGCCCCTTCAGGCTTCTACGACCCAGGCTTAAAAGGAAAAACTGGCTAGCTACGCCCCTGATTAATCAACTATGTTATATTTTTGTTTTGTACTAGTGATTTCGGGAGAACAACCAGGTAACAGTGATGATGAATTTGCAGAGGACCTTCGGCCACTTGTAGAGGAGACAACTGTCAATCAAGATGTCACTTTGCAGGAGTCGGAGCCTAGCTCATCAGAATCACCCACCCCTGAACCCCCTCTACAAGTCAAGTTTCTTGAAAAAGTTATTGCATCAGCTGTTTCTCAAGGGCTCAGCTCACTCACAGACCTCAGTCAGAATCAGAATGATGATGATAGCGCTCAAGCTGGTAAATAATATGTTATTATTTGCAATTTACTTTAATTTCTCTCTCTAATAAATCCCCCTGGGGTTTATTTCAAGGTTGTCAGCAAAAGTGGGTTACCATGGTTACCAACATGTAGTGATGCCGCCTATATAACAGGGCATCTTACCACTGTTTGGAGAAAGTGGCCATAAGGTCTCTATTCCTGGTCACTGACACCTATTCCAGGCCAATTTTTTTTTGGGAGGTGGGGTGAGGGTGGGGGCTATCAGAGAAGGGGCTCACAATGTATTTAAACAAGGACAGGCAGTCCTTGGTGTCAAGAAATTTGAGAGCTCTCTTCTAGTGTTTCAACAACATTTGACCAATATGATGGTTGATTCAGAGGTTATAGATCAAGAAATAGTAGAAGGTACCTAAGCCCATTCCTCTTTTATTTTCCCCCCAGCTGTTTGATAAGGCATAATTTGCCTGCATACCAATATATTATGGCCTAGTATCTCAAATAAGTCTGAGAAAACAGCTATACCACCAGTACTTTTCCCCAGCAAAACGATGTCTGAGGAACAAGTGCAGAAATTCCATACTGTCAATGTGTCATGACCCAGATCTGGATGTGTGTGATTGGTCACGCCACAAGAGAAATTTGCTTAAAAAATTAGAAGCACTTCCCAGGTCTGGGTAGTGATACATCATCAGTATGGAATTTCTCCGCTTGTTCCTCAGACATCAATTTGCAGGGAAACCAGTGACGGCATCAAAAATTGTTGGTTGTTTTCTCAGGTTAATCTCAAATGTTTTTTGTTTCTTATCAAGCAACTTCTGGAAATTCATCACCGGATGCTGAAAGTTTTGGCAGTCCTTCCTTACTTTTGGATAGTCTTCAGTTTCCATCCATAAGTCAAGGAGGAGACACTCTCGAATTTGAAGAGGGCAAGTTCATGGAAGGATTAGAATTTCCAGACATTGGGAAAGATTCTGACTCAGAGACTGAAAATGTTCATCCAGTGAGTAGGTCGGAAGTGGACAGTAAACCAAAAACAGTTGAAATTGAGCAAATGCAAACAAAGGAACCCATTGACAGAGTTAACAGTCAGACAGCTTCAAGAACATCTGAAAGTGCATTGACATCATCGGCAAATATGGACGTGTCAGACTATGAGATGTTAGACCAGTCTGAAGCTGAAGGAATGACACCAACAGATGAAACAGACAATGTTGATTCCCAAAGCGGACTGGGATCAGTGACTAACTATGTGGGAAAATGGCTTGGCTACTGATTAATGGATATGGGGTGGGACAAAAAACCTTCTCCCTATATCCACTTAAACAGTGAATAGCACATGTCGTAAGTCAGTGATAGAAATTCGTATTCTGGCCAAAAATTACAGTATGTCCTCAAAATAGTGCCCAGGCATTTACCGGTATTTAAATTTCAGTCAAAATGGGGAATGGGAGCACTTCTTTAACCGTTTAAGCCCCAATATCCACATACAAATTCTCCAAACTGATCTCTATGCATTTCCTTAAAGAATGAGTTGAGAGAATTTGATAAAAGCTCAAAGTATTTTCTCTTAGGTGATCATTTAATTAATTCTCATAACCTCATCTCATGAAAATGTATGGATGTCGTTAGGAGAAAATTGCGGTTGGTCACTATTGGGACTTAAAGGGTTAAAGAGAATCACTTAATTAATGGAAATTAATTTCCTTGAGATGTCCTAAGTATTCTTGGTTTGCGTCATGTGATCAGTAGGCCATGTTAGTGGTCAATACAATAATAACAAAGAATACACATGAAAATGGAGTTTAGTTCCCAAAAGAGAGAAATGCTTTTGTTCGTGATCAACAACATGGCTGTTGTGGTCTCACATTTTAACCAGCAGTTGAAGCAAATGTGGAGGGTTGGGGTTGCTTTTTTGGTTGAGGCAGGTCCTTGACTACTTGGGAGGCTGGTGAGGGCAGTTAAGACTGTTCACAGTCTCCTATTTTTCATAATGCTGTCATGATTAAGCAGTTACCGGTACAGACCAGGCAGCCATCTTGTTTTTGTATACACCAAGCATTTGGGTTTTTAGTGGTGGGTGAGATCAGTTTCTTGCCTCCTGCCAAACTGTCCCCTGCTCCCTAAGTAAATTTGACACTCATCCAACGTGATGGCAGCCCGTAATGCAAAGTGTTCAATCTTCACGATATTACCAAAAAAAATAAATGATAGGGGATTGTGAATAGTCTAGGGCAGTTTAGTAGGGCTGTGCTGTAGCTGTAGGCAGTGGCATTTGGCACCCTACTTTTCCTCTTGGGCAACTAGGAAGTCTTGAGCTTTTTCCTATAATTCATATGCTGGGCATGCTAGATTTCACAGGTTCCAAGCACTGGGCTCCCTCCAATTTCTTAGTTCACAACCTTGCACAAGCTAACATTTGAGGATCAGAACTACATGATATGAAGGCTCTAATATTCTCTACAATTTTAAATGTGCTTGTAGAGATGTAGAAGCTTTTAATAGATGGGAACATCATATTCTTTTTGGTGATAAGAATATTTAACACTTGTTTTCGTCCTATACACCTCAGTAAAACTTACACAACTGAAATTTAAACCAAGAACCATACTTTGTTGACAGACAGTTGTAATAATCTCCTTCAGACACCATGTATGATCCTCTGCACTTACTAAGACCATTACATTTCCAGGCACATAAATTGAAAAAAAAAAGTTCACAGCTCCAAAATATTAATTTTGTTTCTGCTGGACTGATGTTTGGTGGGATTGAACCAGTTTCTGTAACAATAGGGTTTTCTTTCTCTCTCTCTCTAGTGTGTGTATCAGATTAATATTATGTAAGATGAAGTCACTTAGTAACTTTAGGGATTTAATTGAAGGAGCGTGTCAAATAAGTTGCAAGGTGACTCTTGATGTACGGTTTAAAAAAAACCTTTCATTCTACAAAAAAAATTAAGGCAATTAAGAGAGAACTTGCACAAAACCCCTTCTATTTATGTAAATAATGCTGCAAATTTTTGGTTCTCTGGAAACCTCTTAGGCCCGGTTCAAACGTTGCAATTTACATGTACTGAATCTAATCCAAATGAAGAACAATAGATTTTCCTCATTAGCACTGAATTCAGTACAGGTGAAAAGCGACGTTTGAACCAGGTCTTAGTTAGCATCAACTTATTTATTTACAATTTCTAGGCATTACTTAACTGTCACCTTGGGGTGGATGTGAGTGGTTGTTCGATGTAAGGGACAACATATTCGCAATTTTTATTTACTGGTGTTATTTTGAGAGGTTCTACTCCAGTTCTGACCCCTCTATGTCTCAATGCCACGAGGGACCAAATCTGTACTGGAGAGGGTTGTGTTCAGTTTGGGGGATAGAATATTCTGAATTTTTATACATAACTATTATTTTAATATTAACCCATTCGCCCCTGAACCGCCCGTAACCGCCCGTGCGGATCCAGGTCCTTTCTACCCATTGTGACGTCATCAGTTTTAACGTTCAAGGACAACTTTCTTCACTAACTTGTGCAGAGTGAAGAGATCTTTCAAACCATACCAGAATGAGCACAATTCATTCAAGGACACCGGAGAAACAAGCAAAAAACCACGTGACATTGACCTGAAAATCTCCATGAAAATCTTGTTCCATTACCCACCTACCTTTCCTTTCACCTAATCCTAAGATCCTAAAAGCTTTCCTAAAAA